AAATATCTTTTTGAATTCGTGGACCAACCCACATTATGTCGTTTAAACTTTTATTTTTAGTTGTTGTTTAGTAGTTGCTCTTAATTTGGTCGTCAGGCTTAAATCTCTAATTACTGCCTGATGAGGTAAAAAGTATTTTCCTTCTCCCTGCACTTCGACCATGTGACCTAAATCCATATATTCATGCATGAATTTAGCATAGTCTAACCTTAGTTTTTCATTTCTTTTTAATTTTTTCTCAAGATTCATGAAACGAGCCATTGCTTGTTTCTTCGAGTCTCCTAAATGGAATTGACACAATGTATCGACCATCTGAACCTTTTTTTGTAGTTTTTATGATATAATTCTCACATATTTCAGATTCGATATCATTTTTGTCCTCTTCCTCAACTTCCCAATACCGATCCATATCTTTTAATTCGATGGTGGTTGCTACAATTGTCTTCTTACCTTTGGATTTTTTGCATCCAGAGACAATCCACCCGAAATCGGTTTTTTGACCGAGGAGGCCATTAATTTTGACCACTCCATTCTGCAGAATTTGAGTGTATAGATCTGCCCCAATTATGAGATCTACACGACCCGGCTTATTAAAGTCTGGGTCAGCCAAATCGTACTTCTCCCACTTTGTTTTGTCAACATTAACTGTGTTGACGGGGAGAGCCCTCATAAGTTTTGGAAGTATAAGTGCTTCAACTCTTATCGTTTTTTGGGAATTATTTTGTTTAATTGAAAGATTTACCTTGTGCTTCGAGATGCACTTTCCCGTGGACGATACTCCACTGATCTCTGTTTGAGACCGAATTGTGGGCAATTTCAGAATCTGCGCAGATTCTTCTGAAATTATTGTGCTTTGAGAACCACTGTCGATCAAAGCTCTAAAATTTTCGAAACCTCCCTCAGAGGTTTGAATTTGAATGCGTGCTGTAGCTAGCAACGCTTGTTCCGATGTCATACACGAGTTTACTTTATTTTCATTCGTTTTTTCAACTTTTTGGTCTGTTTTAGACTTGACGTAAATGTGTAGCATACTATGGTGATTTTTCTTACAAATCGAACATGAAATGTCACTTTGACATTTCTTACTATATGAATGTTTAAGGCATTTAAAACACAAATGTGCCTTTTTTACTTTTTCCATCCGTTCAGATGGATTTAAAGCCTTAAATTTTTGACACTGTAATATCAAATGTCCCGTACTTTTGCACATCGGACAACTGTTAGTAGACAACTCTTTCATATTGCTACTGAACACCTTTTTAACAGGTTTTTCATCCTGAACTGAGCTAATCGAACTGAGTCGTTGCTCTAAATATTCAATGACATCGGACAATGCTTGAATTTCTTTAGTTTTTTTAACATGGCTCTCATATAGTTGTAGAGCTTCTTTGTTAAATTTTCTTATTATTATGTGTGCAAAAACTATATCAACCTCGTCAGAAATTTGTGCCTTTAATTTTATCATGTGAATTGACTCATTAATTGTGTCAATAAACATTCTTAATTGCCGCACTGATTCCACAGTTAGATTTTGGAGATCAAGAAGGCGATTTATCTGATCGGAAAAAATTTTCCTTTTATTTTCATACAGCTTGGTTAACAATTCCCAAGCGGCCTCATAGTTTTCACCTCATCCCAACAATAAGTGAGAAACCACATTCCTGGCTTCTCCCTTTAGTGAGATTTTAAGGTAATTAAATTTTAAGGAAGAACTGAGATCCTCCCTTAAATGTATGAGTTCATTAAATAACTCATAAAATAGGTCCCAATCTTTGGAATCTCCATAAAATGAATTTTAGGTAGCGTTGGCAAGTCATCAATTTTATGATTTCCAACTTCTACTACTTCAATTTCCTCGAGTTTTTTTCTCATATCTTTGGTCACCATGGAAATATCGAATGCTAATTCTTCAAATATGTCATCATACCCTTTAATCGTGACGTCCGTAGTGTTTCCCTGCTTTAAAAAAACTAGCTTATCCCAACAACAATTTATCTTCCCAATCCTAATTTCAAAAGTTTTAATTTTATCGTTTTGAATGTCCTCAAATGTGTCTTTTAAATACCTTTCTAACTGCTCAATCGCTATATCTAACTGGCTTTCGCAGCTTACATTTGATTCTATTTTCTGCTCGTTTGCCATTAATTTTCCCTCGGACTTATCAGAATCAGCTAACACTTTATCTATTCTTACTTTAATTCTATTAAAAATCGAGAGCATTTCTTCATAATGACTCTTTACAAAGTAGTCATGGTCGACTACTCCAATATGTACCAGCGCTTTATGGTTTTGGATGCACTCGGCTTTCAGCTCATCAAATTTCTTCAAATATTCAAATGATAAGCTTGGGAGAACTTCCAGCGCCGTAAGGGCGTTGGTAATCTCCACCTGCCTTTTTATAAGTGCGATAGTTTGATCGGACAACAATTTTGCTATGTACTTTTTATACTACAAAAAATTATATTAACCGACTTAAATTACCGACAACTTATATAATAATTTTATAAAATATATAATATTTTTAATTTTCAATTATTTAATTATGGACTTATCTGATCCTATTTTTTTTATGGTAGCCGCTTCTGTCGTCGCTGCTGACTCTATGATGTTCGATGTTTTTTCCGTTGTCGATTAAAGTTGACTTTGGTAGATGCTGTCCTCGATATTGTAGTTGTAGTTGTAGTCGTAGACGTGCTGAAGTCCTTGAAGTCCTGGCGTCCTTGTATGCAGGTTAGGTGTTTTATAGATGATTTACGATCCTTTTTTTTTTTTTTTGAGTTTTTATATTGGGAGTCACTTATTTTTGTGGTCACTTCGGGGTCACTTTGATATTTTTCCAATAAATTTGGGAGTCACTTTTTTATTGTTATTCCCGTTATTTTTTCAATGAATTTGGGAGTCACTTTTTCGATGTCGGCCTCGAATCTGCCTGATTTTACTAAATCACTTTTTCGATGTTTGAAGGCCTCGAAAACGCCAAAAATAATAATTGCTCGATGGCAAAATTATTTTTATTTTGTAATCTGTCGATTTCTCGACCACTTTCACAACAAACTTTGACTTTTTTGTTGCAATACTATAGTTGAATTAATTTTTTATTATATCAGAAAAGATTCTTTTATATCTTTTTGATTTTTATAAATTTTTTTACTCTGTTTCTTACCACTGGTGGGGGATAACAAGAGTCAACTATTCATTAACACCTTAAACAAAAACTGCAAGTGTTACAGATTTTATTTTTTAGGTGCTGGCCTAAGTTCTGAGTCTCTTACCACTGGTGGGGGAAAACTGCAGAGTTGTCGAAGGACCAAAATGAAATGGATGAATTAATAAAACAACCTTTTCCGTTGAGTTCTGTATTAAAACTGAATTTTATTTTCTAAGTCCCTGCTTAGGAAACTAACATGAAATTCTTATTCTGGTCTTATCTGTGGCCTACGCAGAGGCCGCGTCTGCCTGCGCGGGAGAGTTATCATTTGACCCCCGCACAGGAACCTTTGGCGCAGTGTGAGAAGCATCTCAAGTGATTATCTTCGGTTTGGCTCAAGTGGCCTGCACTTACAGATTACAAGTGCTAGCACCGCTCCCCTGTAGGGTCTACAATTACAGATCATAGTTTATGGCTCTGGATCGATTTACAAGTGTCACATGACATGCACAGAGCTCATAAAGTATTATATTTTGTTTTTATTAGTGTTCGTCTGAACAGTGGGCGTGGCTTGATCGCAAAAATATAATTCGCATTGGGAGCGTCATCATCCTGAGATTTTAGCGATTTTAGTTTTTCGTGATGTGTGGGCATTAGAGTGGACGTGGCGTAATCAGAAAATAACAATTCGCATAAGGGGCACGTGGACGTGGCCGTATAATCACCCTTAACACCATGTTACTATATTACACAATACAGGGTGCGCCATATTTCATGGGCCGATTTAAAGTTTAAGGGAAAACAAAACCAATTTAAAAAACAATATGATTTAATTTACCACCTTATTGGCAATTATGCTCTTTTCGCCGCATTTTGCATCACTTTCTCTAGAATATCAGTCGGTATGACTCTCATTTCGGCACGGATGCTGCCCTTTAGTTCGTAAAGGATTTGAGGATTACAGGCATAAACGTTGCTCTTCAAATAAACCCACAGAAAGAAGTCTGGAGAAGTTAAATCAAGCAGATTTCAGTGGCCAGTGGATATCGACATTTTTCGACATCAAAAGTCCAGGGAAATTTCGTCGCAATATGACAGTATTGCAAGCAACGTTGATTATCTGTGAGCAAAAGTTGCACTTAATACGGAAACAAATGTTAATCATTCTTTAAAATGCGTCGTAAAGTTCCATTAACATTTAAATATTCAGCACGGTGCCCATACGACTCTCCTGGGCCTTCGGCCACTTTTACTCTCACTGCCTCTACCAAATTAGCTGAGCGTACCAAATTCAGAAAAATTGACCAAAAAACGACAGTGTCTTTTTTTGGAGCGTTTTGGAGAGGTTATATTTGACGATATTCCCGTTGAGTTAACACAATGAACTTGTTATTTTCAATATACATTTGCACCATTTCATCGCGTTGTTTAAGCATGTAGCGAACCATGGTTAAAATTCTACTGTTTTTACGTTTTGTCTGATCAAGCTGATCGGTCGATATTTGAAAAAAATATTCAATGCTTAAATCGGCCCACAAATGATGGCGTACCCTGTAAATTATGCGCAATTGTTTTTGGTAATTTTGTTGCAATGAAAATGAAAGTTAAATCTACCGCCGACAGCCTAACACATGAGTAAGCAGGCGCGCCATAATTTGTTTATTTGGCCAAAAAACAACCTCTCAGCATTAGTTACACTTTATTTATTCGTTTGACAAAGTGAGCAGTAAGTGATTCCCCGTTGATGCAAGTAGATTTATGTTTATGTTGTGAAAGTGCATAAAACTTTAGTTATAATGAAATAGAAATAAACGAATAATAGTTAAAAAATTAACAGCTTCTATTAATTATCATTATTTTTTTGTTTTCAGATTACATTTTTATTATAGTGATATTTTACAATTATGTTGGGTAAATGCTGTAAAAACCTTTTGGTCAAAGGGATTTAATAATAGGCTTTATTTGAATAATTTAAAAATTGAATACTTTTCATATAATCTTTAGTACTGAAATAATTAAGAAATAATAATAATTTTATAATCCACTGGATTCCTTAGCAGCATATGAGCTGCTTTTTGCTCGCTGTATAGTTCTGTCTTCATAGCGAGTACGTCCTTGTGAAGCCATTGGTCTATTGAGTGTATTGTTGACGTCGTTTGGTGAATTTGGCGGAGTGTTCTGTGCTGTAAAATGTTTACTTATAAAATCATTTTCTTTCCATCCGTTTTTTTTATAAACCTCTCGCAATTCGTTATGTTGCCACATGGTGTATAAAACTTGACTAGCAAATTTCAACACGCAAGAGGTATATTTTTCTTTTCGTCTTGTTATGATCATTAGCCGGTCGATTCCTCCCGAATCTAGTAAGGAACGAGAAAACTCGGGATTTTTTTTAATAACCTCATTAATTGTGGCTAATACAGCTGTTATTGTGTCATCTGAAGTATTTTGGTCATGTTGTAAATTTCCAGATGGGAGTTTCTGTACTAAGTCTCGCATCGCATACTTTCCAATAAGTTCTTTGTTTCGTTGATCAATTGCTAAATTGCGCAGTGCTGTGGCTACTGCACAGACTACGCGATCCACTTCCATCCTAAGAAGCTCCACAAGTATTGGTAGACCTTTTTCCTTACGCACTGTTGCACGAATATCAACACTTGGTTGCCAGTAACATGCAGATAGATTTTGAATTGCTCCAGCTGCGGCTTCGAGAGTTTCTGGATTCGAACAACTTTGCAGTAAGGATAAAGAGTATTGAACTACTTCAGGTTGCCATAATTGTCCATATCCCTTGTTCAAATGGTTATAAGTTACTGCATTTTTCGAATACTCTGTGGGAATGTTGCAGTCGTCAAAAGCTTCGGGGTTGTTGGTACCTTCTTTCTTTTTCTTACTCGTTCCAAAGCAGCCTAGATTTTCTCCTGAAATTAAAAGAGCAATGTATTGTACTTTTGCCTCATATTTCGAATATGAGGCAAAAGTACAATATATTCAAAGCTGTTTACTGCGGTTAAGGTGAGAGGTCCATGCATAATCGTTTTAATTTATAAGATTAATTAATAGGTTAGTAGCTTTTGTTTATCAAAAACCTAACAAACCGACGGCATAAATAAAAGCATTAGCGGTAAAAAAAATAAAAATCACTGGCGCAATATATATACATCTATATATAAGTAAAGATCGCATTGACCACTGCTGATATTTTATAGACAGCGTATCCTCAAGCTTCTAACTCTTAAAACAATTGAATTATCAAGAAGCCAAGAATAAAGACATACATGACTAGAAGGTTAAAATAAAAATAATTTTTTTTACTCTTAACTTCGAAAACCAACAATCAACCATTTATAAAATAAATTGGAACATAACGACGTAAAATGACGACCGTTACCTTAGGAATAACAAAGAAAATAAAAACAAGAGGAAACGCTATAGTCGAGTGCCGCGACTATAAGATACTGTTATTATACTGTTTTACACAATTTTAAAATATTAATTGTGCTAGTGGAGATTCACAAGGCGCCACTTATTGACAGAGGAAGCATGTTGAGTAATTGATAGTGACGTCACAAACCGTGTGAGACATTATAACCTAAATTTCTTCATAAATAGCGAAATAATGTTCCGCTTTAAAAAATAAGTTACACAAGGTCAAATGAAGGCATTCATAATAATATTATAGACGCCACAGTTTTCCGCGGTTTGTGGGTGTTAGAGGGGGCGTGGCCGGAAGCAACTTCGTGGCAAGCTGCAGAGGCATCTCTTAAATGAGTATTCTTAAGCACTACTTTGTAGCTCTTATAGTTTTCGAGATTTTTTTTTTGGTTTTTCGGGTTTTGTGGGCGTTAGAGTGAGCGTCATCATCCTGAGATTTTAGCGATTTTAGTTTTTCGTGATGTGTGGGCATTAGAGTGGACGTGGCGTGATCAGAAAATAACAATTCGCATAAGGGTCACCATAAAAGCCTACATGTTTAATCGGAACTATCTCTTATAGTTACCGAGATATCAGCTTTTCTAGAAAATCCGAAAACCGTGTTTTGAGCCTTGTGGGCGAATGGGTGGGTGTGTCAGGATAGTAGTACCACTATAAGAGGGGCTGGCATCTAAAGATTATATATACTGAATTTCAACTTTCTAGCTCTAATAGTTCCTGAGATTTCAGCGATTTTTTTTTCGCGATTTGTGGGCGTGACAGGATGCTGTAATAAACTTGCGCTGCGTAGGGACCTCAAGACTCTTCATGGTTAATCTCAACTTTGTATCTCTTATAGTTCCTGGGATCTCAGCGTTTATACGGACAGACAGACGGACATGGCTCATTCGTCTTCGCTATTCATCCTGATCAAGAATATATATACTGTATAGGGTCGGAAACTCTTCCTTCTACCTGTTAAAACTTTTCAACGAATCTAATATACCCCTCTACGAGTAACCGGTATAAATACCCTTTTTTATTTTAAATAACCTTAAAGAATTCGATGGTATTATCTACCTCGACTTGCTTAAACAAGCGAATTCGGAACTCGATTTTACCGGGAATGCTCTTCACACAAACAACGGAGATGAAAATATCAGCCTTTCACAGTATTTCACTACACTCGATCTCAAATCAGGTCCACAAGATAGAGCTGGCGGAAAAGGGCAGGGAAACCCGTCTTCTCCATAAATAATGGCAAATATGAATTTTTTTTAAACAGCTGATATATATTCTTTATTCAGTATTAACAGGTATACTGCTACCTATGTGGCAGCTTGAGCAGGTTTTAAATATAGGGAATAACAAAGTGTTGGTATAAAGGTTACAATACAATACAATATTTCTATTCATTTATAGTTTAAATTACATCAGACTTCGAAGGTGTTACATATATCTTAATGGGAGATCGTGTGGGTGGTATCTTTTGAGTCCTTTCCTTCTTGGTCCCCAGATTAGCCTCTTCGCCAGGGAGTTAGGATGAGTGCCAAGGCGTCTGAATTAGCTTTCAGCATGCGTTCGACAAACATCGCCTATCATTGGGGCTTGTAGATCTCTTTTTATGTCTCTGGTTCTTATATACCATGGGGCATTACAAATCGATCTGACAATCTTGCTTTGCGCTACACGTATTTTGTTTAGGTTCGACGCTACGCCGTAGACCTGTAGTGCATATTTCCAGATTGGACTGATAATCGATTTTTAAATTTAAAGAAAGCTTATTTCTTGCCGTGAGTAGCCAGGACATACTTGCTGCCTTTGAAAGCACTGACTGCTTCACCATTGATGTGTGCCTCTGGAAGGTGAGCCCTCTATCCAAAATCACACCAAGGTACTTGTAGTGTGAATCGTGACGAAGTACAGAACCGAGCATGGAAATGCCTGGGCAGTTTTTTGGCCTTGTGGAGAAAGTGACACAGGCTCATTGGTGGCAGTTTATGCCTATATTCCATTCGGTTGTCCATTTTTCAAAACTTGATACGTACTCCTGCAGGCCTATGTGGCCTGTGTCGTCGGCGTATGTTGCGATTAGCATGTCATTATCGTCAACTTCAGTACAACCGCAGGAATCTGGCATATCTGACGTATACAGTGAGTAAAGTGTCGGGCCTAGTACACTGCCTTGTGGTACACCCGCTGCGATTGGACGTTTTGACGACTTTTCACCATCGACAACAACACTAAATTTCCTAGCCGATAAAAAGCTCTGTATGAGGAGGAAAAGCTGCGGCGTTAGTAGTATCTTTAGCTTGCTTAGGAGAGCGTCGTGCCATACCCTATCAAACAGCAACTGTGTACATTTTGCTTTCCATGGCTTCCAGAGCGAACTTAATCACGCGATGAAGCTGTTCAGGGGTGCCGTGACTTTTTCGGAAACCAAACTGCCACCTTGGAATAGCTTTGCTCACACTTTCAAGCCGAAGAATCCGATCCAGTATTACTTTTTCTATCATTTTGCCCAGTGCAGGTAATAGACTTATTGGCCTGTATGCGTCTACATCGGTGGGTTGCTTTCCAGGCTTCGGAATCATTGTGATAATAGCACTTTTGCGTGTACTTGGGTAGTGACTCAGCCTTAAGACGCTGTTGAACAACAGAACTCTAAACAGCAGTTCTTTTCTGGTAAGAATCTTGAGCGTTTTGTTGTCTATAAGGTCCTCGATCTGTGTCACAACTTCTTCTAGGGTAACAGGTTTTGTGGGAAGAGCCATTTGAAAAGGCCTGTCCAGACGCATTTGAACAAGCATTTGATTTACCGTCGGAGCTAGGTTTAAGGGTTTAAATCTGTCCTCCAGATTGTCAGCAAAGATATTAGCCTTCTGCTGACTGGAGCCACACCAACCACCATCTGGGTTTCTGATTGGAGCGTTTGGAGTAACCTGTCTCTTAAATCGATTCGTGAGCTTCCACAGAGAGTAGTTAGTCGATGCATCTGGACTCGCATTTTCCAACATATGGTCAATTTGATCCAGCTTGTTCCTTTTCAAGACTTTGCTTAATCGATTTGAAAGTCTTTTGTAAATGTTGTGGACGCGCACATCTCCTGTTCTTGTGTATTCTCGACGAACTCTTCTTTTCAGCTGTATGAGTACTAATGCATTTTGTGGGAGCAAATTTCTATTTTGGTCTGGAGGTTGTCTTTGGTTTGGTGTAGCAGCTCTTGCAGCAGTCTATATTTGCTCCATAAAAAGCGTTACCGCATCTTCAAGCTCATCTGGATGGTTAATCACAGTATTGAGATTTATCCTTCTGTCCAGAGTTTCGTTAAACTTTCCAACAGAGGAGCCGTGCGGTAGAAGTGGTTTCCGTTTGGCCTTGTATTGAGGAGTTTGACTAAGCATTGCAACTATTGCAATTGTCCGAGGATAGCTCGTATTTTGTTTCGACCGAAAGTTTGTTGAGTTGTATTCCATTTACGATAAAAAAGTCGAGAGCTGTTGGGGTGAGCCTTGTATTGGCAGAATAAAAGGTGGGTTCCCCAGTAGCTAGAATTTGACAAGAGCTAGAAGCTATGGCCTCTTGAAGACGCTTTCCTCGACAACAAGACCTTAAGTTGACCCACCATTTATGCTTGGCGTTAAAGTCACCTCCAGCTAAGAATTTCGGGCCCAGAGGCGCTAGAAGCTGGTCAAAATCGTTTTTTGTCCCGCCTTTAGCAATGTTGCTAGGGTGATTGGCAAAATATTGGTCATAACCAGGAAGGTACATTTTAAGACCGGGACGCATGTGCGTCTCAGTAATGAGCATTATATCGACTGAGTTATCAAGAATAAAAAGACGAAGTTCTTCGCTTTTGTTAACTATTTCTCTTGCATTCCATATTCCGATTTTTATAGCTGAGACTGTCATTTCCTAGAAATAATAACGTGAACTAGATCACGAAAAGCCTTGTTCGACTCAATCGTTTCCATAACTAGCTTGAAGAGTTGATCCAGCCTAGCATTTAGCAAAGATTGCCTTCTCCAAGGTAGCCAAGTTTCGATTTGGGTCGTGGTCATTTTTAGGTACATGTAGAACAGTCTGCCTAGCTGCAGCGCTGCAATTGTTTGGAATGCTATTTCTTCAGTGTATATGCGAGTAATTCCAAATTTGGATGTACGTATCTCATACCTATCTGCCAGGATTATTTCATCTAGGGTTCGTTCCAGAGTGAGGATATTAGTAACCTTTGGAACACATATGGGCGGAGGTTTCGGCTTCGCTAGTTCAGGTTGGCTTGAACTTGGCGCTCGGCTATTGGGATCTAACGACTCCTCATTCGTCTCCATCTCCCCAATAGAGTTTATTTCCTCAGCTAAACGTGCGAAGCGGTTGTTGCTCAGTCCATTAGACGTCGAAGCCTGATTTGAGCAAGCGATTCTGGCCTTGTTTACATTCGATTTACTGTTCTTTATGTCGGCTGGTTTCGTTTTCTGCGAAGAGAGGTACTTGGTGCTTGAAACGAGCACCCCATAGCTGGTACTGCTGAGAAATTATAAGTCCCCAAAGACAATTCTGCTGTAGAAACTGGACTC